GCGCCCCCTCGATTTGCAAACATATATACCATTTCAGAAGGGCGCGCCTGGCGTGTAATTAGACCTCCTCCGTCCGCCCACCTTTTTGGCGAGCGCGCTCCTCTTGGAGGGTGGCCGCAGGAGCTCGACGCCGTGGACGCGTGCATCCTCACGGTCGCGGACGCCGACTGTTTGTTCCTCCCCCCGACACCCCCAGCGCGCGTGAAGCCGACAGCCGCTCCTCGGGGGTGGGGGTTTTCCGGGCCCTCCTCTCAGATGACAAACAACATTATCATACCGATGCCCTTCCTTCGTTGTTCTACTTTTTGGGCCTCCTGGGATATTGTTTTCTTATTATCTGGCGCGCGATGGTCGTTACCTGGGCCAGACCCCCCCGTAGTACGTAGGCGGGGGGGTGCCCATGCCATACATGCTGGTGCCTTCGCGCATTAGTGGCGATCGCAGCGCACACTGGCCATGGCGTGTCCCACCCCGCCCAAGCGTTACTCTGTTACCTGGCCCCCCCCCACGGTTACATTCCTAGATACAGCGCACCATGGGAGAGGTCCATGGATCAGCGGCAGTGGTATCCTTATGTCTCCCCACTTTCCTCTCCTCGGTGGGGTGGACCCAAGCGGAAGGCCATGAGAAGATCCAGGACGCTTCATGCCGCGAGGGCACCGTGAGGGCTCCGTGAAGACCATATGTGATCTGAAGGTGGCCCACGAGGGTCGCAATACAGTTCGACGTCTAGCCATCCCCCGTGCCGCGCCCCCCCCCCCGCCTCCCTCCGAAGGAGGAGCCCCACTCCTTCTTGGATACATGGCCCACCGGCCCACGCAAAACTGGAAGCCAGGTCGAGGCGTTTTTCTTCGCTCGAGCCCCGCGGTCTTCCTTGCGCCGAGCTGGTCCGGCCAGCTCGAGTCGCCCCGCCGCGGTCGCGGCGCCGCGGCGCGGCACCCGTCGCCCTTGCGGCGGGCGGCTCTGGCACGGGCGGCCGTCCCACAGCCCCTCTGAGAAGAGGGCGGGCCCGCTCTCCCCGTCAAAAGCGTGCGGATCTGCTCGTTCCTTCTTGGGCGTTTTCGGCCCCGTGCTCTTGCCCGTGAACGCCAGGCTCTTCACCCACCGTGGCCGCCTGCGCCATCGGGCACGTGTCCTCCTCGAGGCTCACCCTGATCGGCGCCAACGCTGGGCGTGCCCGCAAGACTACGACCGCCTCGGCCAACGCACTGTCTCGAGACGGGGCTACCATCCATTTCGCGAGCTCGCCCTTCGCCGCGCCCTTCGCCTTCACCGATTAACGCCCCTTTGCCCTCACGCTCTTCGGGTCCTGCGACTGAACCTCCAGCAAGTCGAGGGCCGCCACGATGTCGTCCGCGGTCTCCTCCTCCCGCACGTCCCTCAGATGCTCCTCGTACTTCGAGAGGGGAACGCTGGCGCCCCCACCCGTCTTGTGGTTCAGAGCCTGCGTCACGCGCAGGAGGAGGCTGGCCAGCAGCGCGTCGGGCTTTTCGCCGTTGGGGTTTCCGCGGAACGGTTCCTTGGCGTCCTGGACCGCCTGCGTCGCCGCGTCCCCCGCCTTCGTGTACTCGCCATCCGCCCAGGCCAGGGTGTTGGCCAGCTCTGAGCCCGCGTCCATCACAAACACGACGTTCTCTTCCCGCACGTTGGAGCGCCGCTCGTTCTCCAGCTGCAGCGTCAGCTTTGCCAGCGCCTCGTTGATCTTCTGCTGGACCTTGTCCGTCACCCCCTGGCGCCGCCTCCGCGGATCCCGCCGCCGCCTGGCGCTTCCGACCGCCTGCCGCCGTCGCCACTTGATGAGGAGCGCTGAACATCTGGGGGCCGCGCGGAGGCCGGCGCGATCTGCGCGTCCTGAGCAAGAGCCGCATTGCGGAAGAACGAGGCGATGGATGGTGTATCTGGCGGTCGGCGGACCCCCTCCCCGTAAGGATCCTTAGGGGGGGGTCCAAAGTGGGCTGCCTCCCTCTACCTCGCCCTCGCCCCTGCCGCGGCCACGACCACGAGCCTCCTCCTCCTCTCTCATGGCTCTGCGCGGGGCGCCTATGCCGCAGGCCATGCGCTGTTTTTGTTTGCCCTCGCCGCACACTTGGCCGAGATGGATTTTCAAGCCGGCTGCGCCGCGACAAGGCCGGCCGCATTCAGGGCGATGGACGATCTCTGCCACCTCCTCCTCCTCGCCATTCCACGTCAAGACGCTGTCGAATAGTTATCGTCTTGGGGATACGAGACAGCCACTTAAGCCAGGAATCGTCCAAGTAGGGGATCGTTGGGCCGACGAGGGACTGGGCCAGCACCTCCTCCACCAGCCGCGCCTTGGGGGCCTTCGTCCTCAGGGCCCCGCCCTCCTCCGCGATCTCGGCCATGCTCAGGCACAGCGCCACCACGTCGCCCTGGAGCGTCAATACGATGGCACTCCTCGTCCGCTCAGACCCCTCGGGCTCAAACTCGAAACGCCCCAACATCACCATGCGCGTGAGCTCCTTGGGGTCGCGTTCCGGCGCCAACTGCACTCCCAACTCTCCAGGTAGGCAATTCACTTCAGTGCCGAACTCCCCCTTCAGAATGGATTGCCAGGACAAAAGGTGCCGCCGTCGAATGTGACTATGACTCGTTGCTACAAGCAGGCATTGGCGAATACTGTCGTTCAACTCGTGAGATAACATGTCCGTTTCGCGATGAGTTCGGCGAACGCATTTCATACGCCAGCGTTCCAATAAGTGGATACGCATATTCCCAGCGTCTGCCTCCATCGCATATGATGAAGTGGACAAAATCAAAGACTGCCACAATCACAGCTTCACCTGCGTCGAAAGAGTACGAGACTTCCATACCTCAGCCGATCAATACGTATATGTAGATTTTGCATTCGCCGAGCGGGCCGCTGCCTCTTGTCTCGAACTCCCGTCGATACCGAGCACGCTGCCATGGTACGTGGCCTGCTTCTTGATCACGATCCGGTGGCCGCGAATCTGGAGGACGATGCGCCCGCTCTTGATGCGCTTATTCACCTTCGCGCTCCCGGGGCCAATCGCCTGCACCAGAGCCTCCGGCTTGCCCATGGTTGTCTTCACTCCAACATCCGTGAAGATGTCCAGAACGTGGCCGATCCACTTCACCACCATCTGCAAATCCGAGGACACCACCAACGATATCAGATCGTCAACGAAGGCCACCTCGTGGATCGAGCCCCACTTGTCGCCGTAGTATACGCGGGTGGTTGGAGTATCCTCCGCGGTACGTGTAGTCACTGCAGTCTCGAGGATCACGTCGTAGCACGCCACGAACACCATCGGGCCTTCCACTGATTCCTGCCGCACGCCTCTTTTGAACATCACCTTGCGCACGCGCTCGCCCCTAGCATTCTTCAAAATGAAGCAGGTACCATCGTGCAGTTCCTCGAAAAGCAGAGTCATTTCATGACTCTCTGCCATACAGCCCAACGCCTCGAAAGCATGCTGGCGATCTATCTAGTCACACGCCTTCTCGATGTCGAAGAGGATTACGGTGAGGAGCTTTTTCGATGTCGCCCCCGTGCTTGTCGCCAGCACTTGCGGATTCGCTCCGAATTCTCCAACGCCACCGTGATTGCCTCCCTAGTCCCGCGCCCTTTCTCCTCGCCAAACTGATTTTCTGATTTTCGCATTGGAGGACTTGTTCTTGATATCTCTCATCATCGCATTGTGGTCCAGCAAGCTGACGGTCCTGTAGCCGTTGATCGGGTCGTCGCTGTTCTTGCCGGGCTTTCCAAGAAAACACAACCCACTTGTCTTCATATCGGCACTCACTTCATTTCTCGCAATCGTCCCGTTCCAGGCTTCCGTCAAAGCTTCAGGCACCACGGGCTTCGCAAGTTTCCTCTTCGAAGTAGCTCCCACCCACTGTCCAGCACAATCTTGATGTATAATTTGGCCGGCCTTGAAATTGGCATGCCATCGAGAGCCGCCTCAACCTCCGCGACAGTGAATTGCAGGTCCTCCACATCGTTCTGCGGCTCCACCATCGCAGCGGAGGACGACCACGGCAATCTTGGGATTTGGACCGCGCCACACCATTTTCGTGCTGCCCAGATTCGTTAATGTCCACAGGCTTGCCGTCGAAGATGCACGCCAAAGCTTTCGAGCCGGCGTCGAGCTCCTCCTCTATGGTTCAACTCTTGCCACCCAAAGCCCCCGTCTGCGGATCACACGCGCGTGCAGTTCTCATAGCTGCTCGTGTTTTCGGTCCGAGACAGTCGATCTTTTGTGCAGCGCCCTTGTGTCTCCTTTATCGGCATCATCCTGAGCCTCCGCAGCTAGCGCTTCATGTTGCTGGCGCCGCTCAGCGCGCACGGCGTCCTTCGCAGCCTTCTGGAGCCGCTTCACCTTCATCGAGAGCTGCTGTCGCTTCAAGAACTTGCCGTTTGAGCCTTGCGCCTGCGCCAGCCTCTTGAGGGCGTGCTGTTTTGGCTTTTCGATGGCGAGGGTTTCTTCCGATAGCTGTCCGAAAGGATGGTGTCGTACTTGTTTTTGGCCAAGATGGCATCGAAGAGCGTCCACCATGATATGCTGGATTCGCGAATATATTCCCGTGCTCCGTTGGCCACCTCTCGAATCTGCTCCCGTCCCAGTAGTCCATCCAGTCATCGATCCAACAGGCGTAGTTCCGTGGTGCCATCAATCAACTCCTGCCTGTCAATCTTCGGAAATGTACTCGCCACTGCAGTCTTGTTGAACTTCGCACCTGACTTCACAATGGCTCGTAGTGACCACAAGTTCGGTCATGGCCTCCGCCAGAAACACTGGTGATGATGTAGCCGATACACCTCGAAGACCAATCTGCGTCCAAGACCGAGAAGGAGCATTGCCATACGTGTTCAAGGCCTTCCGGTCGTTCGCCTTTAACAAAATCGTAGAGGCGCCTGCCGTTGTCGTTCCATTGGCTCGACTCGCCCGCCGCGCGGGAGCCCGCCATGCCAACCCAGGGAGCCGTGCCATTGGCACCATACATCACCGCATTCGCGTCAGTCGCCAGGATCATGAGCATGCTTGTGCGCCTCGGTAGTTGTCGAACAACTCGGTCTAGCTCTTCTCAGAGTTCTCTCTCGATACCGGCGGGGGCGGTGTCAGTCGGGGCGTAGGCGTGCATGATGTACACGTCCATTTCCTGGCCGTCTGACCCTCCTTGTCGGGAAGTCCGCGCAGGCGCCCATGGCGCTACAGATGCACCGCCACCACTAGGTCCTTCGGGATGCGGCTTGTCCTCACTGCTATCAAGCCTCCGTCACAGGCATGTGCAGCTGTCCTCGCCATCGGGTAGATTGTCCACTCACTCTGTTTCCAGTGCGTATCCAAACTCGCCAGTGCAGACCGCATGCAGACCACCGTTGCGTCCTTCTCCAGGGCCTGGTTCAGTAACTCGTACAGCCTACCACTGTACAAACAGCTCTCGCACTTGTAGCTCCACACTTGAAGATCAGTATCTTTGGCTTGCAGTCGATGGTCTTCAGCACGACCTCGACGAATTGGATGGCGAGTGCGACGGGCTGGAGGCAGCCAGCCAAAGAACTCCGAACCCCTCGAGTCCTTGCCCAGCGAAGCGTGCACCTCGCAGATGACGTCAGGCGAGACGAGCTGGGAGGCCTGCTCGATGCTGTAGGACCGCCCGCGGTGCAGGCAGTACCCCACAGTGCCCTACACTCAGCAGGAGCGCCAGCGCCCGCAGCAAGGCATGCGTACCCCTCGGCCGCCCAGGCTCGGCGCGTCGCCCTGGGCTAGCCTCGGCACTGGATGCGCCTCCAGCGGCGGTGGACGCCGCCGCAGCGCTCGCCGCCCGCGCCATGACTACGATAGCATGTTCGACGCCAAGTGCCCGAGTGAGTTGCGACCCTCGATCGGCCGAAACATCGGATGGCTTGGGCCCGAACGGCGGCTTCAGGTCGAGACTAGAAATGAATGAGGGCGTTAGGTACGACTTGGCGAATCGCTTTAAGTCGAGCGCGAGGAGGAGGATCGACATACATCTACCCGGCGCTCACCCTCGGAGCCCATCCGCAGCTGCTCCCGCAGCTGGGCCACGAGCCGCGGGCCTCCGCGCGCGACCGCCAGCTGCTGCTGGGCCGCCGCGGAAGCTCCAGCCCCAGCGGCGACGCGCTCGGCCTCTTCGACCCGCGGGCGCTCGCAGGCGAGGCTCCCGCGGGGAGGTTGCGGTCGCTGCGGCGCCGCCGCCGGGTGCGTTTGGCGGTTGCCGTGCGCAGCCCCACGCAGGTGCTGAAGGCTGCGCTGTGCGACGGCCGCGGCTCGGAGCTGCCGCAGGCGGAGCCGTTGCAGGCGGAGGCGCTGACCGCCCGTGTGCTGCTCGACTGGCCCGAGGGGGACGTCCTGCTCGTCCCCCATGAGGCCATGGCCGCGGACCGCAACCGCACGCTCGAGAGGGTGTTCCGGCTCCTTGGCCTGGCCCCCACCCTGACCCCACTGCGACGGCAGGCCCGCGGTCCTTCGGAGGCCGCGGAGGGCCCGGGCCTCCCGACCTTGCTGCGCGGGGGGGCCCATGCCCGAAGGGCTCCCCGCGGCGGCGGAGCGGTACATGGCCGAGGAGACCGCGGCGCTCCGCGCGCTGGCCGCGCTCCTCGGAGGGCTCGCGCGGCTGCTTGCGGGAGCGGCGGCGGAGCCCGCGGCCGCTGCATGCGGTCGCGGTGCTGCCCGCGTGAGGCCGGGGCCACTGATCTCCCTGGCGCTCACGGGCTGCGCCCCGGCTTTGGCCGCGCCGCCGCGTGCGCCGCAGCCGTGGCGGCCGAGTGTTGCGCGAGGTTCGAGGATGCCCACTGGACGCTCGCCGCGGCGCTGCGTCGGTGCCTCCTCCTCCTCGCGCGCGCTTGAGCGCGCCCTCCCTCCCTTCCCCAGCGCGCGGCGGTGGGCCATTGCGTCCCCTTGGTCGAGCACGTAGCAACCTTGCTTGCTTGTTTTGAATGCACGATTTTTGGACGTCGCGGCCACGCGCGCAGCGTCGAGGCGTAGAAGGTCGAGAGGCTGGGCAACGCCCGCGCGGCCGGCCCACTCAAAAACCAGGGGTAGGGATTCCCCCGCAGGGATCAAACGTGCCATGCGGCCATGCGCACACCCGGGCGCGGGCTGCGGGGGGGAGAGACGAAGGACACGAGGCGGTGCCGAAGGCGGGGGTGGCCTCGCGGCAGTTGCCTGCACGAGCGCGAACACGAGGGAGGTCGCGGGGGGGGAGGGACAGAGAGCGGGAGGGAAAGGGTGCGGGATGGACGGGCGCCTTTCGTCAGCATCCCAACGCGAGCCCGACCACTGACAATCGGAAGTTTTTGTCTTGATTGGGCGTGGTGCAGTGGCAGCCAAGGAGGCACGAGATCCTGGCTTCTTGATCCCCAAACGAGAACGGGCGTGATTGGGGGTGGGGGAGACGGGAGGGGGCCAGTTACGCCCCGATTCGCGCGCGCGCCGTCGTGGAATGATAAAGACTGGCTCCTTCCCAGACGGCGCCGGTGCGAATCGTGACGCGACCGGGGGCCCGGGGGGGGGGGGACGGGGCCGGTCACGGGCAGTATCGCGAATAATGAAACATGCTCTTGGCCCTTGGCCAGGTTTCACCCGAGCTACTTTCACCGGGTGGGCAGCGATTTCTGCACGATGCGCCAGTGCGACGGGGACCAGCAGAATTGGACCATGTGGCAGGCGCCGCAGGATCCCGCCTTTGCGCTCGAGAGCGAGCAGGATGGACACATGGCTCAGGACAGCGGGGTCTGGCACTGGAGAAGCAGCCTCCCTCTTGCAGCAGTTGCGGCATTGTGTGATCGGCTCTCGTCCGCCCCTCCCCGGCGTCGCTCGGCTTGGCTCGCCGTCGCCCCGCCTCTCGTCGTCGGCACGAGCCCTCCGTGCCACCTCTCCGACTGTTGCCGTGTGCGTGTCCACCGCCGCACACCCACCCCGCGTCCGATCCCAAGCAAGCAAGCAAGCCATGCATCATGAAGACGCGTAGGCAGAGAAATGACTAACAAGTGATGGTGGTACGGCAAACGCGTCCCGGAAGCAGTCCGCCAAACGCGCTGCGAAGACGATGGTCTCTATATTTCCAGAAATCGGGTGTCTTGACGTCTCTGGTGCAGGATCCCCGGAGGTCCCGACTCCTTCCGCGGGGCCCGTTTCTCATTGTGCGTCGATGTTTGACGGTCCCTGGGCCTGGCGAGGGCTCCTGAGGCCGAATACGGCGAGACAAGTGCGCCCTGATCTGCGCAACAAGTTGCAGGGCTGGTCTCTTTCGCCAGGACCAGCTCCTCGGGGCCTGCGCGAGAAAAGAGCCGCGGCCGCAAAGCTGCCGTACCGGAACTACTTCTTGTGCCCGCTGCCCTCGAGGGTGTGGGGGTACATCTCGTCCATGTGGGAGTTCGGGGGCGTCGCCAGTCTGACATCTGGTGGGCAGCACATGGCCTTCAGCGCGTACAGCCTGAGCCTCCGCCTCGCGGCTGACGCCGACCTGTGGGACGGGGACGTCATCGCAGAGGACCCCTCCTCGCCCTCAGAGGCGAAAATTTGGCAGGCACTGGCCTTTTCGCGCCTCGGAGCCCAAGGCATCGAAGAATAGCAGACATGTATAACATAAAAACGTTCGGAGCTCCGCGCAGATTTCGTGCATCGGCGCTGGACCCACCTGGCGGCTCCTCAGGTGCCTCACCTGGCGCGCTCCTCGCACCAGGGATGGGGGTGCAGCGCCGATCCAAGGAGTGCGCACGGAGATCGGAACAGTTCTGCTTGTGCAGCTTTCCTTACCCCCCACGAGACCGAAAGTTCTCAACATTTTTTGCTCCTGGCCGCCAAGGCCCCTGGTGCCGTAGGAGGACGGTTCCGGGCAAAAGGACTTCCGGGGCTTTCTCTCCGCGACCACTTGAGCGACGAAGGAAAACGGGCTCTACTTCGCCGACCTTCGGTGGTATGCTGCTGGCGTAAGGCCGCGCGTAAGCGCCCCTCTCGTCCACGCGGTGCACCGCGCTGGCCCGCGTAAGCCGCGGCGTAATTAAGCGCGCTACGCTGTCTCGCGTCAGACCCCTTTCTTCTCGTCGCTCGTTTGCGAACCCTACAGCCAAGACGCTGAGATAAGGACCGCCTTGGGTTTGGAAGGGGCTCGCTGTTCCTTCGGTCACTCCGCGGTTGTTCCTCTTCGTTCCTTGCGTAGTGCTGTGCACTGCGTCCAGTTCCATCGTGTGGCTTTGCGTCGCCTTGGTTTCGATGCGCCGTTATGAGCAGCTTCGAGCCGTTCTGGGCCTACACTGGGATCACATTGTTTCTAGTCTTCCTGGATGGTCTCGTCGCCACGGCTAGACCCGCTTCGAAATCCGGGTCAGAAAGCCCCCCCCCCAGGAAGATGTTCAGGGGATGATGTTGCAGGCAAAGAGCGCGGAGGCGGGCTAGGAGGATTTCAGCAAATCGTGTTCGCACGCTTGCTAGTGGAACCCCGATTGCGATCAAGTAGTTCTAGAGATTGCAGGCTTTCGCGAGCGGTCGGTCTCCTAGAGCACCGATTTCAGCTAGCTCCCCGCCAGGACCATCACGCCTTCCTTAAGGGCTTCTTCTATTTAGAAGGCTTGCGTCACTCCGCCTGCTTTTCGATGTCACATGGTGGGGGCTGCATTTTCGGCACTGGGCAGAGTAGGGCGACGAGGGGGAGGAAGATCGGGCAGTACACCAGGATGCCACCAGGAGAGGGGAACATGAGTGGGAGGAGGATAAGGAAGAGGCGGAGGTGGAGGAGGAGGAGGAGGAGGACGCGGACGTGGACGATGGACGCCGACGGCGATTGCGGCAACGAAAGACGAACAGGAAGACCCAGGCGGCGTCGTCGATGGTCGGCTGTTTTGCGCTGCGGCGGCAACGACGACGACGACGGCGACGGGCGACAGTTTAGGGCTATGCCGATGACGACGACGTCGGCAAACGAGGAACGAGGACGAAGATGACGGCGGCGGCGGCGTGAGGCGGGAGCGGGCCAGACGCCCACTCCGACCACACACACACACACAAACAAACACACACACACACAAACACACGCACACACACACTGCTTCTTTGCGTCGCGGCCCCGCGCGCGGCGTCGGGGCGCAGGAACACACAATTGAAAAAGGTGAAGCGTGACGTCGTCGACTCGCCAGCTCATTCCCCCTCCCTTTCCATCCCTCGCAAGAAACATTCGGTGCCCTGCCTATCGATCCCACCTTCACCGTTCACCCGGCGCCCGTCAAGTTCCCACCCGAAGGTTCGTGCATGCTTCCCTGCGCGCCTGCAGCGGGGCCCCCAAATACGGGAGGCATCACCCAAACGGCAATCCTCTCAGACGAGCGCCAAAACCGTCACACGGCCAGGGGCCAGCGGATATTCCGTGACACACCTCACGGCTACGCATTGGCTTCCCCTTGATTTTCGATCAGCTCTGGCCCCGACAGCCGCTGGATTTCCCGTCTCCCCGCCATCCCCATACCTCCGCCATCCATCCCGAGCTCCTTCCCTCTCCTGGCGATGCCCCTTCCCGCCCAGCCCTCAATCAACTGGTATCCAAACTGGTACTGTTGGCCGCGGAACTTCGCAACGCCACGCAACGCCCGATCGGCCCAGGGCCGATCCTCGTGCAGAACACGGGCACAAACATGCACGGCGATACTTCCTTTGAAATGCCACCGGAAAAGTCTGGGGGAAATCGCAGCAGCCGCGCTGTTGTTCGCCTGGACAGACCGCGCCGGCGCCGCCACGCCAGGAAGAGAGGAGGGGGAGAGGAGAGGGCGGAGGGGGAGGGGGAGGGGGAAAGGGGAGGAAGCAGGGACAGCAGGGGCAGCAGCGGCGATCAGTCAGTCCATATCTGCCTCGGCCTTCAACGCCGGCGGTGAGGAACGCGTTGTAAGAGTGGGTCACGGATGTGCGCCGGCATCGAGTAGGCGGCCAGCTGCGCGACTAGCGGCGCCGATCCGGAGTCGACGGTGCGCAGCAGCTTGTCTCTGGCGAGTTGCCGCACCTGGCTCCACTCTGCACGAGGTGCCGTTGGAGCGCGGCCTCCATTCTTGCTTTCATGCGATGCCCTGTGGTCTTCCAGCTTTCGTCATCAAAGCGAAACGAACATACTAGTTTGCGAAGCATCTTTCTTGGGACAGCACACAACTTGCCAATCTGCTCCAACGTCAGCGGCGTCGTGGATCAGTTGTAGCACACAGCTGGAGTGATGACACTGTGAAAGAGCTTGAGACGCAACGGAAGAGGAATCTCCTGGTTCAGTAAGGTCGGTGCTAAATTGTGCAACTTCATCCACCCTCAAGCCAAACGGTGGTTCAAATTGCACTGCCCTCTCCTCCGTAACCTCCAGAGAACAGACGCCCCAAGTACTTGTGCGTTGCCCCGCGTCGCAAGATCTCCACCATGAATTCTCCAGCATGAGCCAGAAGCGGGGCATCGCTGTCCGAAGCCTCAGACTCCGTGGTCAGTATCTGCGTTTTGGAGCCATTCATGGAGAGGCCTGCCCTTGCGCGCTCTTCAGGCAGCGCCTCAAACATTGATTCTGCCTCGTCGAAAGTCTTCCCGAAAAGCAGCACATCGCCAGCTTACCTGATGTTCGTGAGCCTGTCGTGGGCGCTGTCCAGGAGCAGGCCGCAGCCGTGCATCCTCGTTCTCCACCGCCGCAGTACAGATTCCAACGCGGCGTTGAACAAAGCAGGTGTGAGTACATCTCCTTGACTCACACCCTGGCGGATAGGAAACGATCCTTGTCCACCGACGTTGCCGGACTGCCGGGAGTACAGCCGCGCCAGCAGCTCGAGGTAGGATTCGTCGACTTTGCGAGCTGTAGCAGACCCGGTCAAGAGCCTTCTTGAGATCGATGTTGACGATCCAGACCAGAACGTTACACTCGATAGACTGACCTATGACGCACTCCAGCACCATGACGGCGTGACCGACGCCCGTCTTAGATCGAAAACACATTAGTAATTCGGAAGCTTTCTCGCCATCCAAGATGGGCTTCAGCCTGGTGTTAAGCATCTTTGAGAACACCCTGTACGTTACGTCCAACACTGCGATGGGCCGCCAGCTGCTCGGATCTGCCTTGTCGCCACAGCCCGGTTTAGGAAGCATGATGAACAAAAAGTTCGTTCCAGCCTTTTTGCAGGTCCCCAGACCGCTGGATCCGGTTGAAGATTCCAAGTAATACTTTGTGCAGTGATGCGCCACTTTTCGCAATAATCTCCCAAACGACGCCGTGCTTGTCCGCGCATCTGCCTCCAGACAGCTGCCAGAGCGCCCTCCTCAGCTCGATCGCGCCGAAATCCGGGATTTGCCCGAGTAGCGAGGCATCTCCGAGTTCGTGCGGCAGCTCGCTGCAAGAGTACACGCCCTCCAAAACGTCGGCGAAATGACGAGGCGCTGGTCTCTGCGAAGTGCGTGTCTTCGCAGGCTCGGCATTACTTCCCCGGAGTTGACCCAGGTCCTCGAATTTCGACATCATCTGCCGATCCGTCTGCCACTTTCTCAGGAGGCGCCGGGTGTCTGTTGCGATCATGTTGGAGAGGCGGGCACTTTCGTGACGATCGCTGCAGTCTCGCCTCGTCTGTCTTAGCTCTCCGAGCGCAGCTGTGTCCCAAGCCTTGCCCGCCGTCGCACGGCCCGTCGTGGTCTCGCCTGAGGACTCAGCAGCTGCCTTGACCCTCTCGTGCGCGCCAAACAACGACTTGATGGTCCCAGTCTCCACCATCTCCGTGACAGCTGGCTGGTACGACTGTGACCCGTGCCAACACACGTTCGGCTTGGTTCGCCGTGCCCGTTGCTGATCCTTGGGAGGGAGGGTCCCTGAAGCCGTGACTGCTCTATGATCAGACCCATCATCGAGTTTCCGAACAGCTTCTGCTCGTCGTGCCGTCAACGCGTCGTCTGCCACGGTGTAATAAAGTTTTCTCCTGTGCCCAAGTGTGCTTTCAAATGTCCAACTTCTGCTCCATGGTACGTCCAGCTGGTCTGACATGATCTCTTAGTTGCGTTCAGCGACAAGGGCTTTCATCACGTCGCTGCGCCAATCGGCGTGCACTTGAGTATTGAAGCCCCCTCCCATGACAACGTGCCGTCCAGAATTTCACATTCCATGCAGCTGATTGTGCAAATCATAATAAAATGTCTGCAAAGCGCCGCGTCCATACCCACAGTGAGGGGCATACGCCGAAACGACTCGGAAGTTGACGCTGTGAACGTTCACATCCATTGTTTTCACACGATCCGAAGAAATATGAATTCGACTGACTTGTTCAGCCAGTTGTCGGCGCAAGAGGATGGCAACGCCAATTTGACGAGAGTCACCAAGTCCGAAAATCAGACGGTGACCACCATCAAGAATAGCATCCCTTGTCAGAGCCCGTGTCTCAGAGAAACAAGCGGCATCCCACTGCACGTTCTCAAGCTCGGCCAAAACATCCATTAGCCATTCTGCTGTGACTATTCTTGAATGTTTGCTGTATACCTGAAAGGACCCCTTGGGAGAATTTGCATGAGGACTGAGCTGATCTGGCTGCTCCCTAATGGGAGGTTCTGCCCTTGACCTTGCCCTTTCCCTTGCCGACTCCCTTCTTCCCAATGCTCCAGGAAAGTGTGTCATGACTCTCTTGCAAGATCTTCTCCCACTCCGCGCTCGTGAGATAGTCCTCCCACCCAGTCCCGTACTCGACCTTCATGGCGTCATCCAGCCACGGTTGTTTTGAGAACCTTCTCGTTTCCCATGTTCAAGGTGAAAGCATCCTTGTCCACCCAAATTGACGTCTTCACATAGCCCCACTGGAAAAGCATCCACTTGGCTCCGAAGAGGCATTGACGTGCGACACGAAGTCCTAAAGGCTGATCCTCTTTGGCCCAGACCCGCTTCCCATCAGGCATACTATGTTTGAGACTGCATATTGTGGCAACTGCTGTTTTAGTCCTCTTGATTTGGGAGCATTGCAAACAAAATGGTTTTCAAGTCCCCCCCTCACGTAGTATTCGGTAGCTGGTACAACCTAGCCTTCCCAGAGCCGTTCTTTGATCCATTTTGATGCCTTCCACTAGTCCCCCAAGCCTTCCAGCCCGCCGAAGACAGCGATCAGCTTGGTGTCATCGGTGCGGGTCTGCATGAGGTTGCGCATCTGGGCATCCAGCTGCTCGATCTGCTGTGTGAGGTCGTGCTGGAGCTGCGCGTCTTGTGGGCACCTATCCCTCTCAACTCCTGAGTGCGTTGCTGCTTTCTTGAATATCTGGAGGTCCTCGTTCACAGTCTCGATCTTGCTCAGCAACTCCGCGTTCTTCTCTTCCGTCCGTTCGAACATGTTGTCGATGTTAGCCTCCACTCTTGCTGCGTTATCCTGTAGCTCCCGTACTGTGTCAAGTACAGGCCAGAGTCGCTCATCGAATTTCTTGTCCAAGAGCTCTGCGATGGCACTGAGCGTGACGGGCTGGGGGCGGGCATCCGGAGGCGTGGAAGCCTGTCTCGCTTCCTCCTCCCCCTCGTCCCGTCCATGGTGTGCAGCGGGACGAGGACAGCCGCTGTCGAATTTCCCGTTTGCCTGTCAGAGGCGTGCCCGGAAGACGTGTATGATGCCTGGTGCCGGCGCCTGCACCGTCTGCCCTTGCGCGCGGCTGGGGGCGAGGGAAAGACAGAGGGCGTGCGTGAGAGAAGAGACTGGAGCCCGCAGATTCCCTTGCTTTGGGTGTACCGGTCCACCCTCAGAGCCAGCGCGCAGCGGTAGGATAAGACGGCTGCGGCTCAATATTGACGCCTTTGAGCCCTAAGGCGCCGCGAACGTGACACTGCGAGGGAGAGGGGGGAAATTCGTTACTATTCCCTGCCCGGTATCTCCTTGAATTCCTAATACATCATATGATCGACCATCGTTTAGTCGTCGTAGCGCGCTGGGGCGGGTAACAACCGCCCGAATTTCCGCCCTGGCCAGGCTGACGCCACCACATTCGGCCAAATGGCAAGCAGCAGAAAGACAAATCACTCAAAATGGGCCCTCGCGGGTCGCCGGGGGCCACATGCGGTTTGGCCTGGCGAAGTTTTACAGACCCCCCACACTCGGGGAAAAGGGAGGGGAAGCGGGAGGGGAATCGACATCTGGAGCGCCGCGGCCTCCGCGGCCGGGCTCCAGCCGGCTGGGCGAGGGGATGGAGGGAATCTGCCCGGGACTCGGAGCTTCGGATTGACGCAGGCCGCCCCCCCACTCTCGCCCGCCATCTCTGCCTCCGGTCTGTTCACCCCCGCCTCCCAGCGCCCCCGCGTTTTTTTCTCTCTCCCTCCCGCCTCCTGACTCCTGGGCCTCCATTTTTCTCTCGGTCGCCAGCTGCGCGAAGACGTTCCACAAATGCTCGAAACACGTACTATGAAAAGAAGCTCTCTTCACGCAGCCTCGAAGAAGGACCTGATGTCGAAGATTTGGTAAGGAGATTGTAGAGAGTAAAAGTTTGAGACATGGTAAAGGTGAAGCAAAGGCATTGGAAAAAGGTACCCGAACTTGACGATGGACTATAATGTGAAGGTACCTCCACGAAGTTGTCGTCAGCGGGAAGGCCGGCCATGGCCCAGCCTCCGCATCCTGGCCGTGCCAGCCCGCTCTCCATCTGTGGCGGCCCAAGCCGTTCTCGCACCAGCCCATGTCGACCCGCATACTTTGGCGCGCGGGCCCCCCCCCCCTCTCTGCCTCCCCCCCCGTCATTCCCCCCTTCCTCTTTCCCTCTCTCTCTCTCTCTCCCTCTCTCTCTCTGTCTCTCTCCCTTTCCCGTCCCCTTCCCCCCTCTCTCTCTCTCTCTTCCCCTACTCTTCCCTCATTCCCCTTCCCCTCTCCCGTCCCGAGAAGACCTTCCCGGAGATGTTCTCGAGTCCCGGCAGATGTTCTCGGAGTCCCGCGTTGAAGGCGCAATGAGCTCAAGGGAGAAGGCGATAATAAAGCAGGCATGGCAAAGGTGTAAAGCGGCCGCAATGGGCGGTTCTTGGGCATTTGCGGGTCGTGCGAATATAATTCCCACCTCCTCGCGAACGAGGGGGGCACACACACTTGAGAATGGTGGAACGTGATGTCGTCGAATTACCAGCTCATTCTCCCTCCCTTTCCCTGGCCTGCCCTACGACCTAAGGACTATCTACATGCAGGTGAGTTTAAACCTTGGCACATGGAGGTCATCGTTGGCCAGCGCCCCATCTGCCAATCGCTGGCCACCTCCGTCTGGCATTCAACACCCTACCCAGCCTAACATTCGGACAGGATGAGGAGCACGCGGGTTGGAGGAAGAAGGGAGGAGGTGGAGGGTGCAGGGAGGGGGAGGGGGCGAGCGAGCGAGCCGTGGAGCACGGAGCCGTCCGAAAACAGGAGCCAGTCTAGCTAGTGGCAAGTGCAAGGAAGGCAGGGTAACTCAGGAGGGAAAAAAACACACAGACACAATTAATCGTCGATCCCCCAGAAAATATGGGAAAATATGGGAAGTGGTGGGGAAGACAAAAACCCAGAAAATATAGGAAATAAGGGGAATATTTTTATTTGTGTGTATTTATTTGTGTGTTCCAGGGCCCCTTCAGTAACGGCGACGCGGCGAGATCGTCCGTTACTCCAGCAAAAAGCCAACCAAGGTATTTCGAACTTCTAATGAAGCAACCAGGGGGTGACAAACGTGAAAACACGGCACGGCCAACCCCCCCCCGGCACCACGCCCGCGCCCCAGCGGGGAAGGGAAAGAACTCCAGACCCCCCCCTGGCACCCCCGCGTACGCGCCGCGGCCAAACCGGCCGCCGGGCACTCCAGGGGGGGGGGGCCGTTATGAAGCGATGCAAGTTAAGCATCACAGCCTGACTCCATTGGCTGGATGCCGGCCTTCGGCGAGCCGCTCGCGGGCGCGCCGACGAGCAGGAGTCGGAGGCCTCTGGGGGCAGGGCGCCCTCCGGGGGCGCCGATCTCGCGGGGCCCGAGTGGCGAGGGCCTCGTCGCCCCGCAAAGCCCACGGAGCAGTCGCGTCCCCGCTCGACGAGGCGGTCACCCCCGCCTTCGAAGAGACACCCTCCAGCCTTCGCCTCCACAGCGACAGCGGCAGCAGCGGCAGCAGCAGCAGCAAGGGCAGCCTGCCTGCCCCCTTCGACGTGCCGGCGCCAGCCCAGCCTCTCCGCGCCCCTGGCTTCAGCAGCGACTCGCAGCTGACTGGGGCCCGAGCCACCGCCGAACAGCGCCTGCACTGGATCGCGTCGGATCCAGGGGCTCAGGGTCACACGATCATGAGTCACTAGAAGAAGCTGAGGCGGCCCACAGGGTCGAACAGCCCGAGGAGCCTCTGGTGCCGCTGGAGCTGCGACCTCAGGCCTGGCACAGATGATTCAAACAGCACGCGCCAGGACTGACAATACATCTTGCAGTCTTTCATGGCAGCCTGGAGCGGCGCAGCTGTCACATCAGCAAACGCAGCGTCCTGGGCTCTCAGCTCCCCGGAAGAGATCCTTCCAAGCGTTGCCTATGAACTTCCAGATTTCGCCAGCATCCGCACCCCACTCAATCAACCCCTCGAGCGATTGATGCGTGGCACCCCAGTGGAACGAAGTCTGCATAGCATGGCCACGGTACGCACGACGGGCTTTCCCATCTCGAGGCGTGCGAGGCTGGGCCTCTCTCCAAGTTGGCATCCCAGCCTTCCACCCTGACGATGACGGGTGCGGCGCCTCCGGCGGGCTCAAGACTGATGGGCCTGTTTTCCACCACCACCACCATAGGTTGGAGCGGGGGGGTCCTTCTCGTCCTCCTCCTCCTCCTCCTCGTCCTCGTCCTCCTCGTCCTCGTCCTCCTCCCCCTCCCCCCCTCCAACTTATGGTGGTGGTGGAAAACAGGCCCATCAAAGACGGCGCCCATCCCCGCCCCCTGGCATCGCTTGGACGTGTGCATTTTTTCCGCGGCGAGGACCCTGGAGGAGCATCTTGGATCATCGAGCAAACAAAAACACGCACGACACCGAACAATGCACAGGGAATGGACGTCCGAGCGATGGCAAGGCCCATCCTTCTTTCCGCGGGACCGTCTGGACACGCCCGCGGGCCTCGCCAAACTTGACACCTCCGGGGGCCACCCGTGCAGGGCGAGCTCTGCCACACGCCGACCACATCGGGGGGCCTCCTGGCACAGCACCTTTGTATGCCTGACGCGTCTGCGGAAGTGAACTGCTCCCAGAGACCGAGGAACAACGAGCCCCTTCCGAACCCAAAGGGGTCCTGATTCCGAGCCAAAAGTGGTCCACAAATGGTCGGAGGAGGAGGAGGAGGAGGGAGAGGAGGATGAGGAGGAAGAGGAGGATGAGGAGGAGGAGGAGGAGGAGGAGGAGGAGGAGGAGGAGGAGGAGGAGGAAGGGGAGGAGGAGGAGGAGGTGGAGGAGGAGGAGGAGGAGGAGGAGGAGGCCAACATCTGTGATTCCCCTAAGGTTTTTCCCGGCGGAGCCGGGTGAAATTCCGTGCCCGCCGGCTGACTGATGACTGAGTGAACGTCAGGGGACAGCTCGGGAGACACATTTCAAACCGCAGCGCAACCCGGCGGCGCAACCGCAACCGCGACCGGGCGACACATTTCAAAGCGCCCGCGGGAGCGCGCAACCGCAACCGCAACCGCAACCGGGCGACACATTTCAAAGCGCCCGCGGGCGCCTGAAGGCCCTCGGCCTTACTAACTGTTAGCAGCAATTGTAAGTAGGTTATAAGTAAGTTGCAACTAGGTTGCAAGTAGGTTATAAACCTCAGTAATGTTACTAAGTCGGCTAACTCGGGCGGTGCATTTGGAGGTAGATAGCTTGAGTTAACGAAGTTACTAACTTCGCTAACTTTTACATGTTGACTTGAGAACAGAGCTGCTGCATCGGGTTGTCCTTGGATGTTGCCTCCAGAAACGCATGCATGTGTTTGGATTTTCGGGGTCACGCATATCGGAAATCATGATCCAGACTTGCGTGCGAACGCATTCAGGATATTGTATCGAGCGTTACAAGAATATTGTGCATTGCAAATGCAACATATCATTTCGAATTTGCAACCCTCTGTTGCACATGTTTTTGAATGTCACTCGAGTTTGGGCTCAAGCCGTTTGGGCGAGAATTGCTGCTGGCGCTTGTGGCGTCCTCCTGCACGCGGCGTGATGAACGCCTCCCGTGAACAGCAGATCGCGGAGGTCCGCCCCAAGATGATGGCCATCAAGGACATGCACTTGCATCCTGATGCAGCGGTGGTCTCATTACTTGAAGACGTACGCAGCATTGCAAGAGGCATAGACTGCCTGAGGGTAGAAAAAATACATTCGAAGTATATGGTGGTGTGCACAGAGAATCGTTACGGAGATGGGATCATTCCGAGCGCGGTTATGGACTTGATCTCCAAGATCTTCAAAAATGGATTCAAGAACTCAGCCCTCCAGAGTCCAGCTTGCATGGAACTTCCACCAGTGGGTACGCCTGAGTATAATAAAATCAAGAACCTCAATTCCAAAATAATGGAGGGCTCAGCGGGCCAGCTGCCGCAGTATGATTGCGATGCAAAGTTCGCATCCTATACGTGCGGCCACGCATCCATGGGTTTGCGTTGCATCAACGCAGGGGTTCCAGTACCCACGGTCATGCCAGAGCGTTTCGACAGAATCTCGCACCAAGGGGAATTGTCACTGACGAGGTCACGGGAGGTTCAACCAAACTACGTTAAGGCGTGCGACGAAGGAATTGAGTGGAAGGTCTTTCGGTACGAGTTCGTGAAGGAGTTCCCGTGGATTAGTAATCTTGCTCAGGAGGCTGGCAAGGCAGGCCAACAAATTGCCAGATGCGAATCTCGCATGAGTCTCATGCACAAGACCGCAGCCGTTGCCAACCGACACCACACGGGTGGCACCATGATCGATTGGGATAGTGTGATCCGCGAGGCGACTCGCGCAGGCTCTCTCTTTCGTGGGGAGATCGATGGCTTAGTAAAATATGTGAAGGAGTTGTCTGGCGGCCTCGGCAACCCGATCTGTCTGAACGAGCTTCGCGACTTCTCGCGGCAGCTGACCTCCCAGTGCGTGGTCACGGGTTCAAGGGCGAAGTCTCTCGCCGATGCGCAGATCAAGCGTGAGGGGGCCGCTGCGACATTCAAGCTCGCGCGCATGAAGGCGATGACACGCGCGACGGGTAAGTTCGCGAGGGGTGGCCATCATATGTTTTTGAACCCATGCGACGTGACCGCCTTGTCGAGCGATAAGAAGCCTACGATTGTAATGGTGGCCGATGAATTTCTTCAGAAAGTGCGACAGATCGCACGCGGTGAGGGCATCACGGCAGGCGCGGTCGCCTACGGCACCATCGTGGGATTGACTGACGTTCGCGTAGTTCATTTCGTGTTCAACAAGCCCGATGAGCGCTTAGGCACTTGCAAGACGCTGAATGACATCGGGGTCAGCTTCACCACTGCGTTGGCAACGCACGTTGGCAAAGCAGTTGCTAGCCCATGGAAGCAGTTCGGTCGCGAGAGCGCATCCAAAGCCGCGACAGGGCAGGCGCGCAGCTCAGATGTGAAAGAGCACACCGCTTCGGGCAAGTGGTCGAACCAAGTGGACAAGCTCAGTGACAAGGGGTTTGAGGCTGGCGCCAAAGTCGCCTTAGCGAGCGACACCTTGGGTGAGAACATGTACGAGCTGATCTCCATCGACGTTGTGACTGGCGCGAAGTTGGAGCTTCAGGCCACGGGCAGTGCGACGTACCACCCCATCGACGACTTCTTACGCGGCAAGTTCGTCGTGTCCACGATTATGAAGGACAGTCTTGCGACCTCGTCGCAATGCATGTGGAATGCATATGCACCCCCACACCTTAGAGTTCTCGTTCGTCGTTCCCTCATCTCATTTGGCTCTGCGTCTTCATGTCTCATCTTTTTTTCGCCGCTGCTCCCCCATAGAGGAAACGATCGACAAGTTCGCTGACCATGGCCCCCTCAAGTCGGTCGGTTACCAGTGGGGCATCGAGGGGGCCAGAATCAGGCTGGCCTTCGATGATGTATACAGCCAGAACGGCAACTGTCTCAAGTACTTGAGTGGCGTGCTTACGCCTGTTAAGCTTCGTGCTCTCACCGTAACGCGTTCGCTTGAGGTTGAGGAGCTGGTGCTTGCCCCACTCTCTTCGGCAATCTACTTGAAGAAGCAAACTGATACAGTTCAGCGTGGGCACGTGTTCATGAGGACATACAAGGGCCCCAAGAGATTGACGTTCAATATCGTGTTGGCCCCCAGTGGTGGCATCAAGATTCCTAAGGCTGAGACGAACACTGGCATTGGAGGGCTGAAGCAGGCACCGTCTTCGCTCGTCATCCCCTTCTGGCTCGCGCAGGATTCGGGTGAGCACGGCACCCCCAACATGAAGCCCAATACCATCAAGTTTACAGCTGCCCCATCAGTGTCTGTGCCAATCTTGACAAACAAGTGCGCCATCAACAAGGGCGATGTCCTTAGCGCCCAGCTAGCATCGCTCATGCCCAAGCGCAAGGTAGACGATGTGCCTGCTGCGCCCGCGGCTAAGAAGGCCAGGAAGCGATGAGGCTTGCGTGTTGGCAGCATCGGTTACACCTAACATGTGTCGTGGGGGGGTGTTTATGAAATGTCTGAAAGCATCGTCGGTATCGTTCCTCTGCAATCGTTGCATCATTGCGTCAGCACGCATCGGACTCGTCTGCAATTGTCCATTGCATCGGCCCGCAGGCGATTGGCTGTGTCCATGCGAGTGCACGCTGCAGCTGCGCGCGCACTGCAGCTGCAGATGGCAGCGAGCGTGCAGCTCCGCACGGTCATCGAGGGGGGCGGCCTTAAGGATGGCGAGCCATGGGTCCCGAGGGCGGTGATGCATACGGCAGGGGGGCTCTTCGTGGAGCTGTCGAGAGCGGATAGGCAGCTGCAAAAATTTATATCTGTGCCCAACCCCGCCAAGAGCCAATCGCCTCTGGCGACAAATTCGTTTTTCGATCAGATCTTGAAGATGCGCAGCGCCGCTTGCAACGGGGCAATTTGGGATCACATGAAGCAGGCCGGCCCATTGCTTCGGCAAGATTGCGACAGGGCCAGCGTCATTAAGAACAATAGGAGTTCTCTGGATATGTCGCACTCGTAGACGCTTCGCGTATTCCCACCAGAGGAGGAGGAAGGAGAGAAGGAGGATGATACATTGGATGACGAGGTGGAGTGGCGGGGGAGGGGGGCGAGGAGGAGGGGCTGAAACAGAGGAGGATGGGGGGGGGGAGAAATGGGAGGAGGGAAAGGGGGAGGAGGAGGAGCATGAGGATGACAAAAAAAGATGAGGAGGAGGAATAGGAGATGCCTTAATTCGCTTGCGTGAACAGGCCGCTCTTGGACCACTCTTGGATCGATCTCTTGACCTTGAGACTTCTTGGGCAATCTTGGATCGCGTGATATATTGGACAAGCTTGGGCAACCTTGGGTCGCGTGATATCCATGCCTGCATGTTAAGGCATCGCGTGATATATTGGGAAATATCCGTGGACATCTTGAAGTATATATGAGCCCCTCTTGGAACCGCCGTCCAGGCAAACCACCCCCCCCCAAAGGGGATGAAGGGCGTAGAAGAGAACGCATTCTAGACATGTGCCCTAAAGGGATGGTGGTCTACCAGAAACTGTCTCGATATATATGCCCGCAGTCCAGTGCGACCATGGTGATGAGCATTTGCATCGCGATGCAGTCACCTCGAAGCTTCTGTTTGAGCTGATTGCTACTAAGAAGGTGTGGGTCAAATGCACGCCAACGGGACTTGAGTACATACGGGTTGCATCTATCGCAGCAGCGGTTTCATGCAGTCAAGAGGCAACACATCGCTTGCGGTCAGCACCAGCAGGGGTGGAAGGTGTGAAATGCGACAAACGTCGCAGGACGGCGTTCATGGTGGTCGACGGCAAGCGTAAGCAGGAGCGAGTGGACGATTGGACTCCCACGTACATCAACAACGCAGCCCAATCCCTTCGTTATCGCTTAGATAAAGAGGCACATGATGAGGCTGAAGCTCGCAAGGACATGTCAGATGGGTCGGAGGAGTGCTATGACTCGCCAGTCGCGGCAGGCGATGGCTCGCCACCAGGCGATGGCTCGCCGCCAGGCGATGGCTCGCCACCAGGCGATGGTTCGCCAGGCGATGGTTCGCCGCCAGGTGATGGTTCGCCAGGCGATGGTTTGCCACCAGGTGATGGGCCGCCCTCTGTTTTCACTCGCCGACGGGAGATGCGCCAGACGACGCTTAGTTTCCAGTAGCTCCACTCCCTCTTCGCCTTCCCACCCCCCCTTCCCTCTCCCTCCAATCTCTATGCTATTTATGCCTCGCGTGCTCAGTCCGAATCTGGCCCCGCTGGCGGCGGGGACTCAGTAACAGAACTCAGTTCAAGATGCGGAGGGCCATCGTCGCGCATGCCGCTGTTCGGCACATCGGCGCCCCTGCCCATGCTCATGCATCCGTCGTGGTCCGTGTCGTTGGCAGCTTCACCGTCGCACGGGCCCTCGGAGTCGCTGAGCAGGCCATGGCCGTTCATGTCGCCCTTGCCCTTGTCGGAGTCCTTGCCACCGTCGTAGCCCTCGCCGCTGTCGAGGGCCGTCGCCTTGCCCTTACCACCGTCGTTAATGCTCTTGCCACCCTTGTAGCCCTCGCCACCGTCGTAGCCCTTGCCACCGTCGTAGACCTTGTCACCGTCGGCGCTGCCCTTGCTACCATCGTAGCCCTTGCCACCGTCGTAGTAGCCCATGGCCTCGTCGTCGATGCCCGTGCCACCGTCGTAGCTTGTACCGCCGCGATCGATGCCATCAGCACCCTTGCCATCGTCGTAGCCCTTGACGTAGCCCTTGTTGTAGCCCTTGTCGTAGCCCGTGTCGTAGCCCGCGTCGTAGCCCTTGCTCGAGCTGCCGTACGGGTCGTAGCCTTTGTCGCTGCCCTTGCCGCCGTCGTAGCCCTTGTCGAAGCCCTTGCTCGGGCTGCCCTTGGCGCTGCCCGCGCCACCGTCGCCCTTGTCGTCGGCCTTGCCGCTGTCCGACATCATGTCCTGCAGCCCGTCACGCTGCTCCTTCGCCAGCCTGATGTGGCCCTTGCCGCTGTCGCCGTCCTTGTCGCGGCCCTTGCCGCTGCCGTCCTTCTCGCGGCCCGTGCCACCGTCGTAGCCCTTGCCCTTGCCACCGTCGTAGCCCTTGCCCTTGCCATCGCCGTAGCCCTGGCCACCGTCGTCGTAGCCCTTGCCATCGCCGTCGTAGCCCGTGTCGCCGTAGCCCTTGTCGTAGCCTTTGTCGTAGCCCTTGCCATCGCCGTCGTAGCCCTTGCCACCGTCGTAGCCATTCTTGCCACCTGCGTGGCGTCGTCCAAGGAAGAGCTCGGCGATGTCGAGAAGCCTCCCGGTCAGCCGCCGCCCCCGCTCGAGCTCCTGTATGGAGGGCGAAAATCCGCCGACCTCCTTCCTCCTCCTCCTCCTCCTCCTCCTCCTCCTCCTCCTCCCCCTCTTCTTCCTCATCCTCCTCCTCCTCCTCTTTCTCCTCATCGTCCTCATCTTCCTCCTCGTCCTCCTCGCCCCCCTCATCCTTCTCCTGTGGCTCTCACCCCAGCAGTCCTCCTGCAGGCGGCGCAGCGCCTCCGCCATGGCGGCGCGGGCTGCGCGCGCGGCCACCCGCGCGCGGCCACGCCCCCCTGGGAGGAGAAAGGGGTCCCCCAGGGGGCCTCGGTCCAGAAACAGCAACGCACGCAAGGGGGGGGGGGGGGGGATTCAGGTGAGGGGGCGATTCGGGTGAGGGGGCGCGGCTGCGTCGCCAATCGTTTCGCGATATGCACTCATGGGTGCATGCAGCCATGCATGCGTTGTTTCAGAGTCTACTTGGGGATGTGAACTTGAAAATGAGATGCGTTGCCATCGTCGTCTGCGCTCGCTCGAGACAGCCTCACAATTAACTCAGCACCACACGACCTCACAATGAACTCGGTACCGCGAACCATGATGTTGGTTATGGTATGCCATGCAATGCTACGCTATGATGTGAATATCCCTCCCCGACCTCATCCCCCTCCGTTGCCACCGCCGTTTAGGCCCGAGCGCTGCTTGGGTCGCGACAGTGCGCGACCAGCTGCAGCGCTCCACGCGCAGCAGCTACCGGCGCTCCACGCGCAGCAGCACCAGCTGCAGCAGCACCACCAGTGCATCCAGCAGCTCCACGCGCAGCAGCACCAGCTGCAGCAGCGCCACCAGTGCAACCAGCAGCACCACCCGCAGCAGCACCACCAGTGCAACCAGCAGCACCATGGCGGACGAGACCGCGGTGACGCTGCTCCTGGAGGCGGCGGAGGATATCAACAAGCGGCGGCGCGCGGCGGCCGCGGTCTTGCATCCCACCAGCAAGGTGGCCCCTCGGCCGCGGCAGCCAACCACGCCGCCGACGGCGAAGATCTTGGCGAAGTACGGTCGCTCGCGCGTGGCCGACAGCTTGCTCGATGACATGGGCATGGCGCCCGCGCTGGATCCCGAGTTGAACTCGTTCCAGTGCCTGCAGGAGTTCATGGGCGACGGCGATGGCGACGACGCGGGCTACGACGGGGCCACGGGCGACTACGCCAGCTACGACGGCGGCAAGGGCATCACCGACGGCGGCAAGGGCTACGACGGTGGCAAGGGCGACGGTGGTGCGGGCAGCGCCAACGGCTACGACGGCGGCAAGGGCAGCTCGAGCAAGGGCTTCGACAAGGGCCACGACGATGGCAAGGGCAGCGGCGAAGGCTACGACATCGACAAGGGCCGCGACAAAGGCTACCACGGTGACAGGGGCGACGCGGGCTACGACGGTGGGAAGGGCGACAAGGGCTACGACCGCCGCTACGACCCGTACAGCTCCAAGTGGTATGACCGCCACAGCTCGTGGTACGACCGCGACGGCGGTGACTACGACAACAGGTGGTGCGACCGCAAGCGCTGGGACGACTACGACAAGGGCTCGAGCAAGGGCTACGACAGCAGATGCTACGACAGCTCGGGCTACGACAAGAGTGGCAACTACCAGCGTGGCTACGACAACCGCGGTTACAACTGCCGTGGCTACGACAACCGCGGATACGACAACACTGGCTACGACAACAGTGGCTACGACAACCGTGGCTACGACAACTACGACAACAGTGGCTACGACAGCCGTGGCTACGACCGCAAGGGCGACAAGGGCTACGATCGCAAGGGCTACGACGTCGGCAAGGGCTACGACGGTGACACGGGCTACGACGGTGATCCAAGCTACGACCGTGGCGATACAGGCTACGACAGTGGCAAGGGCATCGGCAGTGGCAAGGGCTACGACGGCGGCAAGGGCGATAAGGGCCACGGCGGCGGCAAGGGCTGGCGCGTGGAGAAGTCCCGCGGCGGGCGCCACATCAGGCTGGCGAAGGCCCTTGCCACCAAGGAGCAGCTGGGCGGGCTGCAGGACATGATGTCGGACCGCGGCAAGGCCGACTACATCAGGTGGAACAAGCGGACGCACTGGCGCATCTGGGTGGAGGAAACAATGCAGATCTAGTTCGATCGGGCCCCCTCACCCCTCCTCCTTCAACGGTTCTTACCAAGGACGAGGGGGAAGGATGAGGGCCAATAACTGGATATGTAATGCGTTCCTCCTCCCAACATCTGGGCGGAGGCGGCAGTTCGCCGCTGATCCGCCACGCCAGACACCACTACCAGAGCGACGCCGAAGTCGCCGCTGTCGCCATGGCGCCTCGAGCGCCCGTGCCGCCACCAGCGCGGCAGCAGGCGTCGAGTAGACCGCGCGCTGCATCTCTTCCGTCGGGCATGATCTATCATGGTGGGGGTTGTCGTATGCAAGATTCTAACATACGACGCAGTTGTCGTATGTAAGATTCTAACACACGACAAAGTTGTCGCACGTAAGATTCTTACATACGACACCGTTGTCGTATGTAAGATTCTAACATACGACGGATGTGTTAATATAATCCTTATGATATCTATAAGAGCGAGATGTCGTATGTAAGATTCTTACATACGACAACGTTGTCGCATGTAAGATTCTAACATACGACAGATTTGTCGCATGTGAGATTCTGACATACGACAGATTTGTCGCATGTGAGATTCTGACAGACGACGCCAAGGGTTTGAGCGCATGTTTAGAGCAGGCTTCGAGGGTCTCCATCTCGCTCGTGGTCGACGTTGCGCCTAGAATTGGCTTGTCTGCGCTGACCGCGGCTGCGCTGGACCATTTTGATAAAAGTGGCTCCTCATTGCCGCCTGTCGCCGCCGTCGCCGCCATCGTCGCCGAGCGATGCGGGGCGGCGGGGGTGCTATAGAGGGGGGAGGATTCTGGGAGGAGGTGGGGGATGGGGAGGAGGAGGGGGAGGGGGAGGCCCATCCTCCCCCTCATCCTCATCCTCCCCCTCCTACCCTTATCCTCCTCCTCCGCCGCCGCCTCCTCCTCCTCCTCCTCCTCATTCTCATCCGCCTCATCCTCCTCCTCATCTTCCTCCACCTCCTCCTCCTCCTCTGCCCCCTCTTCCTCGTCCTCATTCTCCTCCTCATCATCATCATTCTCCTCATTCTTACTCCGTCTCATTCTCACCCTCTTCATTCTCATAATTTCTCCTCCTCGTTCCCGCCGTCGCCGTCGTCGCCGTCGAAGCCGTCGCCTGCGTCGCCATCTGCGCGCGCGGCGCAGGAGAGGGCGGCGGTCACCGTGACGCCCACGACTGGACGACAACGAGGACGAGGAAGGGTAGGAGGAGGAGCACGAGGAGGAGCAGGATGAGGAGCAGGCGGAGGAAGAGGGGGACGATGGGGAGGAGGAGGAGGAGGAAGAATGTGAGGAGGAGTAATTGCCATGGCGGCTGCGATAGCGACGGCGACGGCGAAGAGTTGGCGGCGACGAGTTGGCTGCGACGAGTTCGACGGCGGCGGAGACGACGGCGGGGGCGTCTCCTCCTGCTCCTCCTCCTGCTCGCCCTCCCCCTTCTCCTCATCCTCGTCCTCCTTCTCATCCTCCCTATCCCTCCTCACCATTCTCACCCCCATCATCCTCCTTCTCCGTCTCCTTCACCTCCACCGCCTAACCCTCCTCATCCTATTCTTATTTCTCCTCGTCCTCATTCGTATTCGTTCCTCGGTCTCTCCGCAGGGTGCTTTATCGCGCGAAAAGCTGCAGCGAGAACCTGAAGGCTCGCACACATGCGTTTGCACGCACAACCCCAACGAGCCCCCATCTAAGTACGCCCCGACACCCACACTCAGGCGGCGCATTCACCGATGCCCAAGGCTTTGCGCCCCCGCGCACGATCGGCAGCACCTGCCTCCACAAGGCGATTATTCGCCCGATCAACCGCACCCTTCCACCTCTTGGCGTGGCGTCGTCCAAGAGCATCGTGAACGAATCCGCGGCCTGCTCCGCCTTCTTCACGAGCTTCTCCATCTTCTTGTATGCAGCGTCTGCCTTTCGAGTGGGCATGGACGGGGGTTCAGACGCGGCGTTGACACGCCGTTGCTAAGTGCGACCGTTCGCCCAACCGCTTGAGACCATGCGACCACAGTCGCAACGCCAAGCCATTACACAACCAATTTCACACCCTGACATCATGATAGTACATACCTGCGTGTCAACGCAACCGAACGCGCATGCATACGACTGCATTGGGCGTTGCCTCAACGCCCCCCCCTCCCCCCCCCCCCCCATAGTGTCACAAGTGCGCCCTTCGACGCGAACTACTCGCAGCCGATTGCAATGCGTTTCAACGCAACCGAACATGCATACAACTGCATCGGGTGATGCCCAAACGTTTATGCTCTAATCAGCAAATATATTTCGACGTGAATGGATTGCAACCACTTGCAACATGTCATGCATGAGATACTGGCTGCCTTGCGGTCCGCCTTTTGGACATCTTCTGGCAATGCTGCTTGTGCCTGATCAGGGTATCCAACCTTTCATTGAAGTGCTCCGTGTCCTCCTTGCGGTGCTTGGCACGCAGCGCCTTCAAGTCGGCTGACATGGCAGGCGTAGTCGCGTACACACGCGCGCGCGCCGCAGCTTACAAGCTGCGTTCTCTCAGCCCTCAACCAACTCGGCTGCGTGAAAACGCATGTAGTCTGCGACGCGGTCGCATGGCATGAGTGCCAACCATGTGATCACACATCACTGCCCTACTCATACCCCCACACACACACACACACACACACACACACACACACACACACACCACACACACACACACACACACTACATCGACGCCGTGATCGGGCACTCCCGTTGCATGTCCACCCCCAGCCGCCTCCTCATCTCGACCCCTCTCCTGTTCACACCTCTCGCGCCCCCCCCCCCCCCAGCCTACTACATGTCGCCAACGATGGCGGGGCTGAACGTTTGGCAAACCGTCAGCAGCATTTGTGGTTCATTCGCCCACCTTTGCAAAACAGTTCACGCGTGGCTTACGCGTCCCCATTTGTGGTTCACGCGCCCATGGGAAAACCAGCGAAGACGATCGCGATGGAAGCGCAGGTGCGCTTTGAGCTGCAGGATGAAAAGCAGGAACGCCAGCGGTCAGTGAAGACTGCCAAGGCGGCAGTGAAGCATGCCAAAGCAGCGAAGACGCAGGCTGAGAAGAAGGCAGGCGGTTGTTAACTAACAACAACACAAGGGCCCCTCGAGGCCAGGGGGGAGGGGATGGGCTCTCGAGCCCACCCCCTTAGTCAATGGCCCCATCGGTGTCGCCAGTCCCACCCGCCTCCGTGCGATCGCCCCCCTCCCTCCCCCCCCGATAGGCAGAGAAGAGGTTCAATGCGTTTTTGAAGAGCAAGGACGCGTGGATGAACGCGCTGCTCGACAAGGATGATGCGAGCGCGGCCCACGTTCGGGCCGAGACTGAGCTGGCGCGCGCCGAGCGCGATGCCCGCTAGGAGTGTGGGGGCGACGGGCGACGGGTGGAGGGGTCAGAGAAACACCTGCATGCATCAATGCAAGATGAGTCTGGGATGAGAATGTCGGCATGATAGCGCAGGTGCCTCGTCCTCCTCCTCATCTTCCCCCTCCTCCCCCTCCTCCCTCCTCCTCCGCCTCCTCCTCCTCCCTCCCTCCTCATCCTCATCCTCATCCTCATCCTCATCCTCCCCATCACCTCATTCCCTCTTCGTCCCTCCTCGTCGTTGTCCTCCTGTTGCTGCTGGTGCTGATGCTCTTGCTCATCCTACTACGCTACTAAGCCGTGCCCCCCCCCCCATCGCTCCCTCGCAACTGCTTCGCACTCTGAATGGCATTGGTG